TAATGAAACTATTCGACGATGATAAAATGATACAAGAAAAACCACAGGAACAAGCAGGGTCGAAAATAATAGTGTGCGAATTAGAACAGGTAATTAGAAATGCAAAGATCGCAAAATCAGTAGGCCCCGATCAGATACCCACTGAAGTAATTAAATGCATTGACGAAGACACACTGCATATTATACTTTTAGATCTGTTCAAGAAAGTACATACAACAGGAGTAATATCCGAATATTGGTTGCTGTCCACGTTTGTAACACTACCAAAGTCAGTACATGTGACAGAATGCTCACAGTACAAAACAATTTCCTTAATAAGCCACACACTTAAGAGATTTCTCAAAATAATACCTAGAAGACTATACAAAAAATAGAAGAAGATATTGATGACATCTAGTTTGGATTCACAGGAGGACTATGAACGAGAGAGGTTCTGTTCGCTTTTAACGTTCTTGCGCAAAGTCGACTAGATATGAACCAGGATCTCTATGTCAGCTTTATAGATTATCAACAGGTTTTTGATATAGTACAATAAGAAACTCGTAAAACTGTTAAAATAAAAGAACGTGGATAGTCGAGATTATTGTCAATCTGTACTGGAATCAAAAAGCAAAGGTTAGAATCGAAAATTTCGATACAGAAACTATTGCTATCAAAAGAGGTGTTAGACAGGATTGCGTGCTGTCCCCATTGTTATTCAATCTTCACAGCGAAGCTATTTGTAAGGAAGCAATATTAGAAGAACAACAGGGTATATAAATAAATGGAAAATCTTGAACAACATAAGATTCGCAGATGACACCGCTATTTTTGCCGACAGTCTAGAAGCACTGCAGCGCTTAGTAAATAGATTAGAAGGCTAGATATCAAGAAATAACAAGTAGAAAAAGTAAATAACTACAAATGTCTGGGAATCTGGGTAAATAAAAATAATACCAGGATAGAGAAATAAGGACACCCATTGAAATTGCAAGACAAGCATTTATAAAAATGAAAACAATGTTTGTTAATCGAGACCTTCCTCTGGAGCTCAGGATAAGAGCCTTGAGATGCTACATGTTCTCGACTTTGTTGTATGAAATAGAAAGCTGGACACTAAAAGTGGACAATATAAAGAAGTTGGAATCATTTGACATGTGGTGCTATAGAAGGATCTTGAAAATACCATGGGCCCAACGAGTTATCAAATGCAGAATTATTAAGAAGGCTACAAAAGGTTTGCGAGGTCATAAAGCACATCAAAACAAGAAAGCTGTAATATTTCGGCCACATTACCAGAGATAGGAAATATGAGATATTAAGGCTCATAATTCAAGGTAAACTCAGGGGTAGAAGATCCATAGAAAGACGAAGAATTTCCTGGCTAAGAAACCTAAGAGAGTGGTATAGTTAAGCTCAGTAGATCTTTTTAGAGCAGCCGCCAATAAGATAAGGATAACTGTGATGATAGCCAACCTCGGATAGGAAAAGGAACTATTTTTGTTCAAATACCCACCATGAAAGCCAAGACTAGATTTAAGTTGTAGGGTTATTGCAGGGAGGGGAATGAATAGTTATACTGTAACCAATGGAATATTGTTGTAAATTGTTAATAACGAAGGAAATGTTGCCTGCAGAAATGGAGAAACATTAATAAGCAAAGGATAGCAGACGAACTAATCGTCTGTTGTTTAATGTTACTGATAAATAAGTCTTTTTCACAAAAAACATTGATAATAATGACTAAAATAAAAAGGCATAACAAAAAGTCTCTGATTGTTTCAGTTTTAGGTTTTAAAAACTAAAATACTCTATAAATATTATTTTATACATATCCTGTTAAACACAAATATTCCAATGCACTTTATATATAAAAAACTTAAAAATGTATTCAATACGACACACCACACTTTTCCCTTAGGCATCCCAATTCATATGCTATCATCACAGGTTCTCACATCATGCACAGACACATATCATGACTTAACTCTGGTGTCTTCATTTCTGGTTAACATTAACACTACATTAATAGAAAATAACTCAGATTGTCACATAGTATTATATATGTATTTTAGTGGGAATATTATGATTTTAAGATTGATTTAAAATATAGTTTGTATATAACAATTTTTAATAATAATAGAGAAAACGGATTGTCAGACATTCCTGACGTTTCATCATCTTTGTTTCTTTTCTTCATTTTTCTTATGCTCAATGTATGTTTTCAAACAGTAGGTATATTGGGATTTCCATGTGCATATTTTAAAAATGTTATGTCTCAGCTTTCATTAATTGCTGCAGTTCCTTTTTGAACTCCTTGTCGCTTGCAAAATCCTTGCAGTAGGATTGTAACTTTAAAGTAGCCATTTAATAGTCACCTGATGCTAGGTCCTAGCTGTAGAATATGGTGCAACGATATCCGGTCTTAATTTGTTGAGAACAGTTGTGGTCATAAGGAAAATGCCCTTTGGCGCTGTGCCTTACATTGATTGATGAATAATCTCTATCCAGACTCTCTATCTGGATTATTACATAGTACCAGGTTTCTATAAGTGACAACGGAATATAGAAATTGCTCGCTATTTTTTAAGTAACGCGAAAATATTTATGATTGTTAACATCATCGTTCATTTCAGTAGCTAAGTATTGGGTTGTGCTAGTACATTTCCAAATATTCTATAAAATACTTGTTAATTGCAAAAAAAATAACGTCGCGAATCTAACCGCGAATCATCATCCCAGTTAGTTATATATAAGGACTATTAGATTATCATATTATTATCATATTCTTTCATTTTTGAACTTGTTTTGATTATAGGAAAAAAACACGGATTTTTTCCTTTAATTTTACATTTCAAAATGCATTGAAGTAGCTCATATCTGCTTTAATTTCTTATTATGTGTCCAAAGTACTGCAGCTTACGTTCCTTCACGATGTTGATCAAATCCGCGGTTGTGTTTATCCTACGCAGTACTTCTTCATTGGTGATTTTGTCTATCCATGGTATCTTTAGGATCCTTCTGTATTTTTCCGCCTTCAATATCTACGTTTCTACTCCGTGCAGACGCACTGAGTACACATAACATTTAAGGAGCCTTATTTTTGTTTCTAGAGTGAGGTCATAGCTCTTGAACACAGAGCTCATCGTCAAGAATGCACTTTTTGCCAAGAAGCCACATTTAAGCTCTTGGGCATTGTCGCACGACTCATTGATTATAGTTCCCAAGTAGTTGTACGGTGAGTCACGTTCAATTCTCATTTGGTTCACATACAGATTTGCTCCAGTTATGTTTTCCTTGCTGATGATCATTAGCTTGGTTTTGCAGGTGTTTATATCCAGTCCATAAGTTCTACTTGTTTCCTTTATTTTGTTCATTAAGTTTTGCTACCCTTCTATGGTATTGGAAAACACTTTTGTATCAACTGCGGTATGGTTATTGAGCTCGACTCGATTGAGATGCCTTCATCAATATCCTTTGAAGCCCCTTCAAAAATGTGTAGATCCGAGTACAGATTGAATATCAGTGGTGAAATTATACATCCCTTGTTTGAAGGTCGTGGAAAAGCTTTTGCAAGTGTTCTTCCCATACTTTCTTTTTATCTTCTTTGATTATGGCATGATTGCCTTTATCATCTGTTGTTTTTCCGCTGTTGCGTTTTCAGAACTTTCCAGCTATTTCCTTCGCCATTCGATGCACATCGAAGTTATCATATAGACTGTGGTACTCCTCTATATCTTGACATTGTTCTGTTGTTTGTTTTTCTTTGGCTTTTCTTATCTTTCTTCTGACGGTGGTATGTATTCTCTTATATTCTTGGAGATTTTCTTTGTTTTGTTTTTTCTGATCCATAAGTTCAAGTATTTCATCGGTCATCCACAGTTTCCGTTTTTCTGTATATTTCTACAGGTGTTGTTCTTTTATTTCTCCAACTGTTTCTTGTATGATGGTCAGACTTTTCTCTATAGTTTCTGCATTTTAGCACCTTTGTATTGAGGTTTTTACTCACCTTCAGTCGAACATTGGGATCTTTCAGTGTTCTAATATCATACTTCTTCATCGACTTTCTGGAAACCCTCTTCATTCTGACTTTGAAATTACTTACAACTGGTACATGATCAGAATTTATGTCTGCCCCCGGGTATGTTTTGACAGATGTACAGCTGTTCTTAACCTCTTGTTTACTAGCATGTAATCAATCTGATTTCTTACAATTCTTTCCACAGCCAGTTTCCTTGGGTGTAGCTTAAACCAGGTGTTCGTTATTACTAATTGATTTGTTTTCGGAAAAATCTCCAATGTGTCTGCCCGGTCATTTCGGTTTCCTAGCCCAAATGCAGATGATGTTTTGCTGGCACCAACTTTGTCATCTAAGCAAACAAAAACGAATTACCAAACGTAAATAGCGGAAGTAGTAAACGAATACTTCATTGGGGACATTTTCCATGCTAAGATAGGTATGCTTGTGATTTAAAAAGAAGGATATACGCATAAACAACACTTACCGAAGTGTACATAAAGCATATCTTGTAGTTACAGCAACTTACATATCCTATTTTATTATTAAACCGATTATCAGCCCGTTTTATATCCATTTTTAATGGTTTTACATTGCTATAAAATTGTTAGGCATCTATTTTATTATTTTGTGACCTCCCCATTTCCCTCTCCATTTTCTTGATTATTCTTTAATTCCAAAGTTATACTTTTTATATATTATAAACCTGAACAAAGTCAGCGAGAACATACCACCCTGAAGTAACCCTGGACTTATTTCTATCTATTTGATTTGATGGGAGCCCTGTTTTGAAAAAAAAACTGATCTTTCGTAATCTTTTTTAATTTTTAGTATAAATTTTAACGGTCGGTCTAAAAAATGCGCGTAATCACTCCGATATTATTCTTTTTCATAATATTTCCCATTAAAATCTACAATAACTGAGGTGCACCAATAAACAATCTGTAAAATTGACTTCACGGTCTTCTAATAGACTTGAAAGAAACACCAATATTCTTTTCAGCAACTGCTCCTTTGCGCAACGCAAAGTCTCTTTACCTGCGAAACGAACACGCCCAGCATAAATAGCACCATATCTGACCAACAAATCGCCTTATCAAATATACAGGCAACACAAGAAGAGAAGTACAAGGAGCACAAGGAGTGCTACAAAGAGCATAAAGACCCCAAAGGTCCACCCATCTACACTCTCTTACAAGGTTGGCAGCTGTTGGCGTTAGCTGTTAGTCTGTTTGTGCCTAAAAATTCGATGTTGTTGTGGTTTTTGAAGCTTCACCTTCAGAGGAACGCTGAGAATAGGACGGAGTGTGGAAAATATGCGGCGTATTGTGAAAGAGCCTTGGAACGAACCATTTTAGCAGGTAAGCTACCAATTTTTTTATTACCTTTTTTATAATACCTAAAGATCCAAAGCAAAATTTAGATTGTACAGAGCGAAGACGTCAAAACGATAAGTGAAAATCTACAAGGAAACTAAGTTCCTGTAACTGGTTGTATACCATATATCACAAAAAAATTATTAAAAAATTCCTTTATAAAATTAGATTCGTCCAGTTGTTGGTTTCATAAACATTCCAGTTTCCATCCTATCAATTTTTTTAGTGAATCTTATTAACAACATGACGAACTTTACCCCCCGATTCTTAGTCAAAAATACCAGTCATCTACTCAATAACCTACAATTAATCTTCGCTCCAACACTAACATGCTTTCCTTTGATGTCAGCAATCTATTCACTTCTGTCCATAAACGAGAAACAATGAATCTGGTTCACTCGCTTCTAAGAGCCAATTCCATCACCTTGTCTACTAACAACTCCATTGTCCAACTATTACAACATTGCTTAGATCCAGATGGTTTTGTTTTTAATAACAAATACTACAGACAATCTGACGGCTAAGCCATGGGTAGCTGTCTCTCTCCTCTATTAGCTGATGTATTTATGGATCATTTAGAATCCACACAGATCATGAAAAATCCTGAAATACTCCATTGGTTTCGCTATGTTGACGACTCTTTAGTCTTTATTTCAAGTAACTCTAACTCAGCTGAACTATTATGTTTTAAAATTGATTAAATCCACCCCAATATTAAGTTCACCATGCTAACTAAAGTCATCCAAGTCAATAAATTTTCTTGATCTCACCATCACCAGATTATATGACCACTTCGACTTCAGTGTCTATAGGAAACTCACACAAATCGGCCATGCAATACCCTTTTCTTCAAATCACCCTATGTCACACAAATATGCAGCTTTTCACAGTTACATCCATCGCCTGGAAACCATTTCACTTCCTCAGCCGAACTATAAAAAAGAATTTAATATTCTCAGACAAATAGCAGTCAATAATCGATATGATTAAAATATCATCAATAAACTTATCCATAGAAGACACTTTATAACTCTGCAGGAGGCTGCTTTTCTCAGAAACCTTACTACTAAACCCAATTACGTTTCCTTCCATATAATCACCAGAGTCTTTTTGGAGATATACGAGATCTCATAAAACGTTCACTTGAAAATATCCACGTTTCTTTTAAAGCACCCAATAATTTCTGTCAGTGTATATCTAATTCCAAAGACCCCACCAAGTATATGAACCAAAGTGAAAATGTGACAACCAAAGACAAAAAAACGAGGATCATAACAAAACATGTGACTAATCATTTGACTTCATTAGAGAAAGTAGGAAGAAAAACGTGGACAGAAACAAAAGTTTTATTAATAAATATAAAAATTGGGCAATATTTGTATTATTGAGTTTTCTATTTATGTTATGTCTAAATTTTAGGTGGTCGTGAACTAAAGCCATCCAGGATGGAGGTGCTGAGTATTTTACTCAAAAACCCCCAACACCACTCATTGCCCCATTCCATGCCCGTCCATTTGCTCAACGGAACGTATCATATCACTAGCTTCGACGGTTCTACATCGATCAAGGAATTCCAAGACTCTCTTGCTCAAGAAATCGGATGTCGTACAAGCAATGGATTCGCCATCTTCAGCGACGATCCCATCGAGAAGGATCTGGAACACACGTTAGATCCAGCTGCGAAGCTGTGCGATTTAATATCCAAGTGGGAGATTGCCTTGAGGGAGAAGGGGTTGGGGAAGTTCGAGAATAGTAAAGTTATTAGACTGACTTATAAAAACAGGCAAGCTATTAATAATTTATATATTACTTACTTTATTTATATATTACTTGCTATACTTTATTATTGCTTGCTTTTTTTTATGAAAATTTACCAAAAACTTGACTTTTTCCAAAAATGAATTGTTAGAGTTTGACTTCTCAATACTTAATCTTCTTTCTAATAATCTTTTTTCTCTTCTAATCTCCTCTACGCTCGAAGTGACAGCGTATTTATAGATATTTCAATGTTCACGAATATCCTCGAAAGAAAAGAGGTTAGATTCTTCTATTTTGTAGATATTTCAATGTTCGCGAAAATTTTCAAACGAAAAGAGCTTAGATTCTTTATATTTAGACTTTTTTTGACATCTTATTTTAAACCTCTAGATAGTTCTTTACTTTTCTTTTGGGAATGTTATGGAAATTTGGGCTTTTCAGATGAGAATGTAAACTGATATACAACTTAAACATCTTAAATTGGTAAATAACACTATTTTAATCCATAATTATTATTTTAAATGTCCACTTTCTATTCAATTTCACCTGGATTCACTGTCCCATATCACTTTTATTTACTCATCTTAATCTATTTATAATATCATAACTATCAAAATAACCAAATACATTGCAAAATAACTTTTTAAACAAACCTTTATGCTAATTTCTTAAGGATGCCCTCATATAAATACTTTTTATAATATTCTCTAGTATATAACTTATAAATTATTTCTTTAATCACCATTTAAGTTTATTCTAGGTTTCTAAACATTTTGATTATATATATATATATATATATATATATATATATATTTATATATATATATATATATATATATTATATATATATATATATTATATATATATATATATATATAGCTCTATTTAATATTCTGTGTACATTTTAGGTTGTGGTGGAAAAACAGTGCAAAGCTAGAAACAGAAAAAGAACGACTTCTGCTCTGTTACCAAGTCAATAAGCAAATCGTGAACGGAAGGTTTCCAGTAACACGGGAAGCAGCCCTAGAATTCGCCTCTCTTATGGCTCAAATGGACACGGGAGACTGTTCTTTAATATCTAACAAAAGCGCCAATAATACTTTAAGCCATCAAGGATCTTCCAACCTCCACAGAAGTCCGAAGTCTACTGGAAATGGTACGCTCAGTCCACCTGTTTCGGTGCAAAATTGCAGCGCTATACAGAATTCCAGCTCTATACAGAACTCCAGTACTTTGAATGCTTTAAATAACGTGCATGGGATTTTAACGGCTCACTCTAACCAGGCTTTAAGTGCCATTGACAAATTTTATCCTTACAGGTGAGTAATGTTATATTTAAGAAATTGTAATAAGGTAAAGTAAAAATATTTCACTACCCACAGTTTCTCACTAACAAGTTCATAATTGTTATATTTTAGATATAGGGACCAATTAAGCCAGGAAGGCTTGGCTGAACTTCAGGCCAAGTTGATGGCAAAGTGGAGGGCACTCAAAGGGAAAACACAAGCTGACTGTGTTAGAGCATATTTGAATTCTACCAGGAAGTGGCCATACTTTGGCGCGGCTCTATTTCAGGTTAGTATTTTTTTCAATTAAGTTTCCCGCCATAAGATAATTTTGATTTGTGTTGACGTTTATATTGATTTAAACAAGGTGCCTACAATAAATTTACAACGACGATATAAGTCGAAGAACAAGAAACTTCTTCTGTAGAGTCATTTACTTTTCGCGATCTTGTTAGGCATTCCACGTGCATCGTAAATCCTTTATATAATGCGTATCTGCAACCGATAATTTACCATTTTGCCTTGAGTCGCTTATTTTTGGATTTCTGTATTGATTTTATTATTTATTATATTAATATATATTATATTATATATTATTTATTTTCTGTTTGTTATTATTACCTAGTCGTAGACAACCGTTCTGTTTTATATGCATCATTCACTTCTTCAATAACCTCAATTTGTTTTAGGCAAGACTGCGTCAACAAGACTCACCCATGATCTGGCTGGCAGTAAACGAAGACGCCATAACCGTTCTGGACCTAGCAACTATGCAGCAACGAATGAAATACCCCTACACGAACGTCCTAACGTTCGGAGGCTGTCAGGAAGACTTTATGCTGGTCGTGACCCAGAACGACCAAGTACCATCCCAAAAACTAATATTCTCACTAAGCAAACCCAAAATTCTTGAGCTGACTTTACTCATCGCAGACTATATGAACTTGTTAATCAATAACCCAGGCACACCCCTTTTGGGCACACTCAGTAGAGGCACCATGGTTTCTGTAAATCAATCCGTAGTGAACCAGTCGATCATAAGCCAGACCATAGCGAACCAAAGCCAACCGGATATACTTAAGTCTACTCCTGATCACGGAGTCCAAAGATCAGACTCCAAGCGAAGAACTCACGTGGATTCAGGTCTGGCGTGATGAGGCGACTCGACAGTTCCTTGAACCACTCATTAGGTCGTCTTAGTTGTGAAAGAGTGAAACAAGTTGACATTTTTTTTAATTGTGATTTTATATTTTTTTGTTGTGCCAGAAATGCGTTTCAATATTGTATATAGAGCGATATATTTATTATGAGCGAGTGTAAATAGAATTTGTTATATGTAATTTCTTCTTTTATTAACGTAACCACTTTTTTGTGTTGGAACCTCAACAATATCTAGCATTGCATTATTTCAAATCAATTTTACCCTGACTATACATAATAGTATAACAAATGAATAGAGTTTTAAACGTCTCCATGGACTGGTAGAAGAAGAGACAACAGTAATACACGTAATCAACACTTTATTTGGCCATCACCATGATTGTACTCACCTGGTTTTATTTAATTGCTAGTTTTTGTAATATTTCGTTAATTGAACTCTTTTTTTATTTTTTTATTTGTTTATGCCTCAACTTCATAGGGTCATTGGCGTTGTACAATTTAAAGTTTTACAATTTATTTAGTACATTTATGGGATAGAAATATGATCAAATTTTTCATTATCAATTCCGTCACTTAATATTGCCTGTAAGGTATCTTATAATTTTATATTGAAGTCTCCCCATGCAATATAAAGTACACTCATAATGCATTTATACAAATTAAATGAAACATAATATTGTATATTTCTTAAGTTAACATTCATAGAAATTTTTAAATATTACTTCTACGCGTATATAATAAAATATGTCTAGTGGCTGTAATAGCAGTGTACTCGGCAAAGTGATTCTAAAAAAGAACACACCTAACGCCTAAATATTTCGTGTTGGTATCATGTGACGTCACGGGCTATGACGCCGATGACGTGCATCGTTATGTAAATTAGATGAAGTGTAGATCTATATGCATGTGACAGAGATTTTGGTTGATTTTGTTTATAAATAGGGATGACGATAGATGAACTCCAGATTTTTGGAAACTTACTATGTCTCGATATATTATTATAGATTTTCAGCACGTGTTTCTTTGCAGATGAAGAAAGTTGTTGAATAAATATTGCAGCGACCTTATCAGGACTGGGAGAAGAGAATTAAACTCCTTTGTTTTACTGTTTACGGATTATTTATTTCTTAATTTTCGTTTTTTGTAGTCTACAAGAATCTTTTGTATGCAACTGTTAGTCCATTCATTTAGTTTGTTTTATTTGCTAACATCCGGTCTTTCAGAAACTAGAATATCGTTGGTACAAAAGAAATAAAGGGCGAGAATAAACACCCTAAGGTTATCTGGCCATAACTTCTATTCGTTCGAAATATACCTTTCTTCCAGTCAACCTTCTACTAATCTGTGATGTAATCCACAGCGAAATGACTTATTCTTATTAGTGTTATTGTTTTATTGGAGGCCTTAATATGTTTACAATAAGGCTTTCAAGCAGTTTCCACAAGGAGAGCAAAGAAATGGTCCCTAACATAAATATATAAAGCTTAATCTTACTTGTTACTTACTTGTTGTTACTTACTTTATTATGAATTCAAACTCTCTTTTAGAGACATTGAAAATATGACCAAATGTGTAACCGCAGAAGCAATAAAAATTGAAAAACGTTAAATAATTAAATACAAGAGGCCATGTCCAAAGACAAACAGCATGGAAATCAATTCGACAGAAAAACGGAGAAATTAAATTGGAAAATAGGACACCCAATCGCAGGCGCACCCTAATCACAAGAAGAGCAGCAAGAAATGTAAGCACAGAAGAAATTCATTCTCAGTGAAATGGAACTAGTTTTCTTAGTAAATTTGTGTTCATAACGAAGAAATATCAGAATTGTCAAAATGGTTTTAATCCTTGGTATCAAATTTAGTTGTGGCAAAGGAAGAATATAATATTAGATAAATTTAATTGGTATTTTTTGTCACAATAATTTTTGAGTAAATTAATTTTATTATAGTTACTAAATAAAGGTTAATAAAAATAAGGAAAAATATTGTGTTTTTAGGTTTTATATTATATAGACTACTGTCTTGTAGGAAATTTGTATTGGCAATTTAATGCAGTAACATCTTTATTTACTATAGCTCATTAAACCTTCTGGGAGCTAAGATTTTGATATAAATTGTTGATCACCGTTGTAAATCAATTACTACATACCGTCGAATTTGAGCCGTTATCACACTTACCAGGATGAAAAAAGAGTACAGTGCCAGAAAGCTGCTTCATAACAGGATGAATTTGTCGATGGGAACACAAGTGATTAAACGGACTACAAGATGGTTTAATAAAAAGTATCTTCTAGTTACTACATGCGATATAAAAAAGGTTAAAAATAGGAAGAACTAACTGATACATAGTTATTTTTGGATGGAGTATCAAAAACCACGAACGAGCGGAGAAATAATACTTGTACTGAACACTGGAGTACTAATGACCTAAACACAGATGCTTGATTAGTGTATTAAGATAAAAAAAAGGCAATTTGAGCAAAATAACGAAAGAAGAAGACAAGAAGAAAAAGTACGTCATTTCCTAGTCAATTTTTTAGTCGGTTGACAAGCAAAAATTACAGATCATTTTGAACTTTCAGGTAGCCATGTACTACAGCTACTACCCCACAGATGGCGTCTGGCCGATAGCCCTTTTTGAAAATACATATTTGTTCTGATTTTTAATATTCTTTATAGTACCATAAAGTACATAGTAATTCACCAACTGTATAGTAAATTTAGTAATAATTTTTTGGTTGGTTAAATTTTTATCGACTGGCAGTGGCTGGAAATTACTTATATACAATCAAGCATACATGCTTATAGGCAATATTTCAACAAAAAATATTCCCATGCAGTTTATTAACAAAACTGCATCAATTAACACAAATGTTAATTTTTAAAATTTTATGGTAATTTATAGTTCAGTACTTGCAATGTTTTAATAAAAATTGCTGAATATACACTTCGGTTATTCATGATTATTATTCATTTTTTAATAAAACAGTCGGACATTTTTCACATTTGTTCCCAGTGCAGATGAGCTGCTGTCAATTAAGTTTCACAAAACGAAATGTTGCGTTGGCAGTGTTGCCATGTCCCTATAATGTATATGTTACGTGCTTCAAATTCAAAGAGAGAAATCTTCTAAAACGTAAATTTTTATTTTTATTTTTGGACCAAATATTTTATAAGATTCAGGTGAAAAAACTTTTACATTGGAAGAAACCATTTTTAAATCAACGCGGAAATTGTATTTAAATTTTAGATACAAAAAATATATTCCCTTAGGTTAAAATGTGATACTAAAAGTAGGTATTATAGGGAACTAAATACTCTGAGGAGTGATGGGCCTGAATAAACCCAACATGAAGATGATTACTCCCAAGGGATGTTAAAAACACTTACTTTCGTTGTCTTGCTTTAGGTATTTTTGAGTAGATGCTTCTTATAGTTGTTCGCACACCAGCAAATAATCATAAGTTTGTGCAGCGCTGCAGTCACGCAGATCATCTTCATCGAAGCTCCACTTTTTCACAATTTACTTGTAGCGGATCATTCCACCTTGCAGCCAATTTAGAGGTATCCACATGAAGAATGGTAAGTTTGATACAATGACGTATAATATATAGACTCGGTGAACGCTTTAAAAAGTGTCCAAAACATGAATACCTTTGTTATTGTTTATTGTTTTGATACGAAGGTGCACGAAGTTCATGATTTCTTACGAAGCATCACGAAGTTGATCTAGTGTTTGAAAACATCATGGACGTATGAAAACATTTTTCTCCATTTTGTGTGACAAGCAAATTTTATTTTAAATTGTTGAGAGTTATTTACTTACTATTTTAGTAAAATGCCATACTATTTTATCAAAATAATTAGTTCTCTTATGGACGGGAACAAAAAGAAATCATAAATATTTAATTTTAATTAAAAAATAATTATTGTCATTAACATATAAATGAGCACGCCGCTGTTGTGATAAACATACCTTCAACCTTGAGCCGAGATCTTTCGGACACTCGATTCTATAGCGAGAATAGGGGACTGCGTAGTCTATATATTATACGTCATTGGTTTGATATATGGTCGGGTAGAGGTTATGGCGTCGGCTCCAAAGATATCTCTTCCATTTGCTTGGTGAGGTCTCAACTGTTTCGTGTACCTACAGCTTGACTTCAGCCGGGTGGGTTGTTTGGCATGATCATGCATGGGGCAATGGTGGTATTTGACTTGTTTGGATTACTCGGCTTCTACAGCTTTTCTAATCTTGGTTAGAGTCATTTCTGCGATGGATTAAATTTTTGGGACTGGGATAGGTGTAGGGCATCCTGTAGTGATTCGACCCGTCTCATTTAGAGCAGTGTTGAAAAAAAAAGATCTGTCAAGGGGAATGTCTAGGTATTTTGGTATTAGCTAGTGCTCCAATTCCTGACCAACTTTAAGCTTTATGTCAGCTTCTTCATTTTTTTAAATGGAAATAAAAACATACCTGCATTTTTGACGGGTTTGGCTTCAGGTTGTTTCATTTGTAGCAAACGGTCAGTTTATTTAGTCATCTTAAAAATTTGTCATGTGTCGAAAATTTAACTCTGTCCAATTTGGAATCTGATTATACTATTACGTGATATTAAATAATTGAACTGAATATTATTGGTATTATATGTAGGTAGTTAAGGAAAAAAGAATATTTTTCGAAACGTGACAAAAAACCTACACAAAGAAAGAAATTAAAGAAATTTTCTTGCTTTTATGAAAATATTTTGAATATGCAATGCTAGGTATTTATAAAGATATTATAAACTTTTAAATCTTATAAAATAATAAATCAAAATGACAAATAACTCAAAATATAACTCAATTGTTCGTTTAGTTAAAGGAATTCGAGTCTGCAGTAAGATCCAGAGACCGCTTTGATGACTTTAGATAGCATTTTATTTACAAAAATTAGGTAATTAATTATAATTTAGGACTACGAAAAATTCAGTTTTGTGTAACAACTTTGT